GGGAAAAACTGCCTAATTAATTAGGTGGAGTTCCTGGACTAAGTGACAGGCTCTGGAGGGTTTGTGCACCAGCAATATATGAGTATTACAGGAGGAGTCAGTAAGGATTAGGAGTCCCTGGGGCAGCAACCGGTCTATAATGGGTTTAAATCCCTCCCTATGGGTTCTGGAGATAGAAAATTGGGAACACAAGGAAGTTTAGTTTGGTGTTTCAGCTGGGTATGGACTGGCGTGTGGTGGGAGGCAATAACCAGCATGGAGATGTCCCAGATCTGGGGATTGAGTAGGACAGGGGGTAATGGCACATTAGGTACTGTCGGGTCATTAGAGAAGGTAAGAATTAAAGGCAGAAGGAGATGGGTGGTAGTGTTCTTGGGGTATAGTTGGAGGGTGGCTTCTAGTAATTGGAGAACATCTCTGTCTAGCAGAGGAACTGGACAGGACGGAATGACCAGAAGAGTGAGTGAATAGGTGTCCCTCCAGGGCGTAGGCCAGCTTTACAGTTCTGTTTGGGTAGAAGGGTTTGTCAGAGGCCTAGAATGGGCAGGCAAAAGAGAATAGGTAGCCCCCATGTCCACAAGGAAGCTTATGGACTTACCCACTGCCTGGAGTACTACCCTGGGCTCGGAGAGGGCGGTGGAGGGTCATTGAATCTGGGCTTCTTCAGTCTTCTGTGAACTCCAAATGTTCAGGAGAAGGGGCTGCCTGACTGGTCATACCCCTGCATAGAGGCGCCGAGGAAGTGCCAGCCATGGGGAAGTCACTCTTCCAATGTCCTGTCTGGTTACAGGTGTGGCATGGCCTGGAAGGAGGCCATGGGTTTGGGCATTGGCAAGCCCAGTGACATTTGCATCCACATTTGAGGCAAGCCTCTGGTGGAAAGGAATGCTGATTCCCCTCTGAAACTTTTGCTGGAGACATAGGCCTCAGGGCCCTGCCAAGGCCTGGGTTTGGGCGTTACCTTTTTCTGCAATGGAGCCTGCTTTAAAGGCATTTTTCACCAGATCTCAGATAGGGGTCTGAGGGTCCTCCTCAGCTCATTTGAGTTTTTTTCTGATGTCATGAGCCGATTGAGTAATGAAATGGGTTGCTAACACTGTAGCCTTGGTGGGAGACTCAAGATCCAGCTTAGTGTATTTGGTTAGGGCCTCTGTAAGGTGGTTGAGAAATAAGGCTGGATTTTCATCTGGATTCTGGGAAAGATCTTGAAATGAGAATGGGATGTATTAGAATGATCCCTTCAGCAGCAGCCATTTCCTTGAGAAGACAAAGGAGCTTTGGGTTAGCTGGTGGGAGGGCCTGGC